ATAAATTGTTTTTATTGAGTTTATAATCATTTTTTATACCAATTGTTATATACGAGATACCGTAATGAGTGGATTTTATAAGCAAATGATTGTAATACTAGTCATGATTTTCGAAAACATATATTCAAATAGAAATTCGAGGCATAGATTGAGATTTGAATACAATTTTTGAAATACGATATAAACTTTTGGCATAATTTTTCAAAATTTAATTTTAATTATACAAACATTTTATCATTTTATTACTGTAATAATAAAAAGTTTTAATTACTATCGACTTCTATTCACTACATCAAAACGATTGCAATAAATACGCAAAATATAGTCAAATTTCAATTACATTTAAATAATAATTAAATTTTTATTTAATTAAAAAGAGGAAAACATTTAGTGTTTCAATACAAGTGAGACAATCCTAATAATTACATGAAAATGGATTACATGAGACGTACGGCAGAGACAACACCATCATTAGTGACCATTACTTTGGTTTAGTTCGTGGTCTGAGGTCTTCATAGCACGGGTGGAGGAATATATAGTTCTTTTTCTGCGGGTTGTAGTACTCGTGCCCTTTAGACCAGTCATAACTGACAGCGTAGGCGAACAGCTCGCCCCGGGAGCTGAAGCAGCCTTTGGTGATGGGCTGTTCCAACTGTTCGGACGTCTTAAGCTTAGTGCGGGCGTCTTTGTCCCAGTAGCTGAACCTGCCGTCCGAGCCCACAGTGGCGAGCGTTCCGTGATGTGGATGGAAGCAGATGTCGTTGACGGCGAAGATGTCTTGGAAGCCGTTGTTCGTGCCGTTAGAGCGATGACATTTGAACGTGAAGTTGTCCTTCGGGTTAATGGGGTTCACGTACTGAATGGCTACCCGGCCCTCGACGCTGCCCAACGCGAAGCCAATGGGCGGCGGCTGCGGCTTCTCCTTGTCGACGAAGATGGAGACACAGCGGTGTTGGTACTTGAGAGGGGAGTCCAGGCTCTTGTACTGCTGCAGACCGTTCTCCAGGTTGTACACAATTATGCCTTTGTTGGCGGTGCCCACCACTGCCATCGGGTAGTACACGTCGGCGCAGTAGCACCGCTCCGGCAGTTGCACCGTCTGTACGGGCGTTGGCTGACGCATGTCCCACAACTGGTCCATACAAACAGTGTTAGTGTCGATGCAAATGAGACGCCAAATAATGGATCAAATGGTCACTTACTTTGAGTGTCTTATCCCAACTGCCAGTCATAATACAGGTATAGTTCTGGGCTTTAATGAAGTGAACGGTTTTGACGGGCGAGTCGTGTTGTGCCACTTGTATGGACTGATTGCTGTTCAGATCCCACATCTTCACCGTCTTATCACATGAAGACGAGAATACTTTTGTGCCGTCCTATCAGTCAAACACATGTTAACCATAATTAGTATCAGTGAGAGTGAGTGAGTGAGTGAGAGTGAGTGAGTGAGAGAGAGAGAGAGAGCGTCGATGACACCGATTGTCTCAATACTGACATCACTGAAGGCGAGGTCGAGAACAGGTCCGCTGTGCGTCTGCTGTGCTTTGGGAACCGTCGACCAGTTGTTGGTCTGCGAGTTACCACTGATTTCCCAACACCTGATCTGATTATCCCACGAACCGCTCATCAGATAGTTCTGCGGCAGTGATGGCGGACTGAAGGCCAGGCAACTGATGGAGTCGTCCGGAGGGGACATCACCTCCAAGTCCTTCATTGGGTTGTGTTGTTGTTGTGTTAGCAATGGATTGAGCGATGAATTGGACGAAAACATTGAACTCGTTGTCGTCGACCCAAACATGGGTTGATTCACACCACTCGTGGCGCCGAAGAAACTCATTGTCACCCGATTTGGTCTCTCGATAAGCGGACAAGTCTTCGGCAAGTGATCGCTGAATGTCTGCAACGACTTCAATGCGTTTTCTATGCAAACACTGGATGTCAACAAACAATGCGCTCATAAATAACGTACGCTTTTGGGGACAAAACTTTTGAATTGAACTAAATTGCGGTCAAACTGTTTGTGCCGTGAATTGAATGATATAGCGGTGGACTGGGATGTCATTTGGACAGGGATTGTCACTTTTCACCTATATTTTAGTCATTATAAGACACGATTTACTGTTAAAATATAGCAAACATAGGTATATCACTAGTACTAATAGGTGCCGGCATTTAATTGCTAATTGAGAGGATTTATAGCCGATTGGGAGGACATGTATAACAATTTAATGACACAATGAGTTGATTTAGTTGAGTGTTTCAAACCAATACATCATAATTATGTGCCAAACAATTTCCAAACAGTTTTCATACAAATGTCATGTAATGTATGTGTGATTGAAATTATCATTGCATTAGTGAGCAAAACATATGCCATTGGGTTTGCAATGGGTTTTGAACACCACTTTCAATGCAATTGATTACAACAACAGCAATAAAATGTGAACAAAACTAAACAAATGATTAGTTTTTACAATAGTTTTTGCCATTCATATCACAAACAATACATTCCCTTAAAATTATTGCAATATTTTTGCCACAAATTCACTGAATTTAGTGTTCAGTTGTACTTAAACTGCAAGTCTTATCACAAAATCATTTTTGTCACAACAAAACCCGAAAAACAAGTTTTAAGTATCACTTGTCGTCTCAACAAATACTTTCGCCAAACCACTGGCTATTGATTGTGTGGACACAAGACATATCTGATGATAGTGTGCACTCGTGTGTCACCACCACTGGCAGCAGAACCGGAGGAATGGGATCATTAGAAGTGCCGCTAAAAGTATGGCTGACGGCTGTGCTCTCAGTGATTGTCTTATTGACGGCTTATTGGTATGACTTGTCTCGTGAGGACGACCTCTTAGTGAGGCTCGAGTTGACCCACGAGTCGCTTCTTCACATCGAAGAGAGTGTTTCAGTGAACCCCAAGACGAAGATCGCCATCGGGTTTGGTTCGTGTGTCGATGTGATCGCACAGACACGGGATGTGCTGCTCGACAGGTATTCGCCGCCAAAGGCGGCCAAACATTACGAGATAATTGAGACCAGAGATGAACTCTTGGAAGTGTTCGCCTATTACTTCCAATTCGGCGCCGCAGCTGAGTATGTATTCCGGTGCCACTCATTGTGGCCATCAGTTGATGACTAATTGATAACTTCTTTTTGTGTCCAAACAGGCGTTACATCAAAAACAGTACACTCTTTGACGAACTCGTGTCGGCGGCCAATGCGGGCCAACACACCAAACACGTCATCGGAGGTAACGCTCCGATAATGGCCTCGCGTTTCGCCAAA